GAAAAGACCCAACCAAAAAAGAGAACTAAAGGCCAATCTCCTTAATGAACATAGAGGCAAAAATCCCCAATGAGATATCAGGAAATAGAATAAAGAAGATCATCAAGAAGATCATACACCCTGACCAAGTCAGATTTATCCCAGGCATACAAAAATGGTTCAACATATGTAAATCTATAAATGTAACACACTATATCAATAGAGTCAAGGTCAAAAAACATATGACCATCTCAATAGATACAGAAAAAGCACTTGACAGTATTTAACACAAATTCATGATAAAAACCCTACAGATAATTGGAATAGATGATATTTATTTGATAAAGGTATCTATGAAAAACCAACAGCCAATATCATTCTAAATAGCTACCTCGTTAAAAAGGCAACCATCCTCACTTGAGCAAATATTCTTTAATAAATGGTGTTGGCAAAACTGGCTTTCAACTTGCCAAAGATTAAAGCTAGATCCCTATCTTTCACCATGGGCTAAACTAAAATCCAAGTGGCTTAACAATTTAAATATCAGAACCAAGACCACCTGTCATGTAAAGGTACAAGATCCCAATAATGAATATAACTGTACTGTATACCTAAAATGTACCAATGAACTCAATAAAAGGAAAAAAAAACAGAAACATTAAAGTTGCTGGGAAGTAAACTAGGTAGAACTCTCAAAGACATTGGTATAGGAGAAGACTTTAAGAACAAGTTCTCAATACTACGAGTACTTGAACACAGAATAAACAAATGGGATCTCATTGTACTAAAATGTTTTTGCAGTGCAAGAAAAATCACCAAGAGAGCTAAGAGACACCCTACAATGTGGGAAAAAAGTTTTACCAGCCTCTCTTTAGACAAAAGACTACTATCTAATGGGAAGAAAAGGGCTAAAGGAGCTACTGTACGATATGGCTGTGCTTTCTCATTTGAATTACTGCTTTCTCATTTGTAAGAGTTTGTTTTTTCTTGCTTGGCTGAAGCTCTGACTAGGAACTCCAGTGCTATGCTGAAAATAAGAGTGCTTAGAGAGGACATCCTTGTCCTCTTTCACATCTTAGAAGAATCACTATTAGTTTTTCCTCATTCATTCTTATGTTTGCTATGGGTTTGTTATACATAGACTTTATTATATTGATATATGTTCCTTTGTATCTTGAGCTTCTGCAGGGTGAGCTACTCAGGAAGTTCACCAATATTCCTGCATTTTCTGTATTCCAGGAAATAATTATGACTATTAATAATCTTGCAGAAATCTTTCTGATTTCTATGCCATCATGAAAAGTATGCAAACTGCAGAATGGAAAATTTGTAAAATTGCCTCAATTTCTTCACTTCATGATCTAAAGTTCACTTCTATCTCAACATCTATAAAGAAGTCTTCACAAATGGTCTTTGAAAACAAGCTGAACTTTTAGGATAATCCAACTATTAATCTTTGCTTTTCTTTTGATTCTTCTAAGAATTCATGCATTAAATGTTTGATTTCTACTACAAAGCAGTATGTTCCCCTGTCACCAAGTCTCAATAGATGGCTCAGCTGATCCTTAGAGTCTAACAGAATACTACTGAACAAGAAATAGACCTGTGCTGTTTATACATAATGATATTGCTTTCCTTGAACATGAGGCTTTCCACCCAAAGCCTCATGCACTCATTGGTGGAGTTTTTGGGAGGTGACTGGATCATGGCTGTGTAATGCTCCATTGGCTCACTGATGGGTTTATAGCTGGGTGTGATGTGGGGGCATAAGCCTGCTGGGAAGATGTGGGTCACTTGCATGGCCTGCAATGGTGTATGTATATGTCCTTCCTTATCCCTTGAGCCTTCTCTGTTTCCTGCTGCCATGGCAGAAACAAGCCTCTCCTGTCACACTGTCCTGCCATGCTGCACACTGCCTTGGAGCTGAGTATGGACTGAAACCTGTACAAACTGTGAGCTAAAATAAACCTTTTCTCCTTTAACTTATTAGGGTCAAGTATTTTTTCCCAGTAACAAGGAAGTTACTAGGACAGAGGGCTTGTTAAGGCTCCCTGATCTTGAACAGACATTTTTTAGTTTTCTCTAACTTCCCTTCTTGACCTTGGCCTGACAATGTGGCTGGCTGAATGTTAAGCCAAAATTTTACCAAACTAGTTCATCAAGAATTACCCATAATTTTCCCTTGACCAAATTCCTTTTTGCAATTTTTCATTAACTTCACTAGCTCATTGGTTACAAACTCTTAATTGCCTTTTTGTATTTGGACTTTAGTTTAATTTTTCTTTCCTATTAAAAATACTTGAATAAAGTCTCATTCTATCCCATGCAATTTTTCTTTGGCAGATATTCACAGGAAGAGCTTGATTTTGACAAAGATGGGTAGTCTCCCACAAAAAGGCCACATGATCTGTTTTCCTTAATATTAATAGTATATATTATTATGATATATTAATGGGTCCAAAATGTACATAGTATTCTATGTATATTTAAAGTCAAATCTGTTCTTTTTAAATAAAAAGCAACATTCTCTTTTATACTATGTAAAGATTTAGGGAATGTAACTTGAAATAATTATTTAGAAACTTCGGTATTTAAAGCAGTACTAGGGCAAAATTGACATTAAAATAGTCTTCAGTGCAAGACATCCTCAGTCAAGAATAAGAAATTCACAAGATATTACCTAATCAAAATATCTTTTAATTATTATTAACACCTGACAGTCTTTGTACATATAGTTTTTCTATTTCTCTTAAAAATTCTTAATTCATATTTCATATTTTAAAATAATACTGCTAATATTTCTGTTTGCTTTACTTTAATATATATAAGAACTGCATGCGTATTGTACAATCTGATATTTTGAAATATGTACATTGTACAATAATTAAATCATGCAAACATATATATATATATTACTTCACTTTTTATTACCAGAGGCATTTAAATACTTCTCAGTGATTTTCAAATACACAATGTAGTAATAATTATATTCAATAAGTTGTAAAATAGATCTCTTGAATTTACTCCTTCTGTGTAACTGAAAGTTTGTGTCTTCGAAGAACATCTCTGTAATATCTCCCAGCTTCTTTTTATGCCTTGCAAATATCACTTCATGTACTGAGTTCCAGTTCCATCCATCCCCATTGTTGGAAATGTCAAGATTTTATTCTTTTTCATGGTATAATAGTATACCATTGTATATATGTATAATTTTAAAAATCTATTCATCAGTTAATTGACATTTAAGTAATTTTCATTTTTTGCTAATATGAACAGTACAGTAATAAACATGGGAGTGCACATGTTCTTGGAGACAATGATTTCATTTCTTTAAGATATACATTCACTAGCAGTTTGCTGGATCATTCAGTAGCTATATTTTTAATTTTTGAGGGACTTCCATACTGTTTCCATTAATGGATGCACTAATTTACATTGCCACTGTATTGTTTGGGAAAAAATACTGGAAATTTAAGGAGAAGAGATACACAGAATTCATGGCTTCACAAGTTTTAGTTCATTATCAGCTGGCAAAAGCAGAAACACACTAGTAGAAGGGCATAGTTGGGCAAAGTTGCTCACTTCACAGAGGCCAAAAGCATATGGGGAGAGTGCCTAGAGCAGTGACAGCAAACCCTTTAGAGAGAGTGCTACTGCAACCCAAAACCCACTCATCGCAAAGAGCCAACACTGCAATGAAATCTGAATGCTGAGGTTTTAGATTAGAAAAAACTCTACATTAACACTTCTTGCCTTAAAAGAGAAACATAACACACATGCCACAGGTTCATCACCACTAATCCAGACCAAGGGACCAGGGACCAGATATAATTCAAAAGGTTTTCCCTTCATGACCTATCGAGACACTCAGAAATGTGCTTTATTAATCCTGTAACCAGCTCTGAAGCCAGTCAAGTTAATGGTCATCTGAATCATTACAGCCCGATTAGTTCAGTACATGATATGAACATGAATTGAAAATTATGATATACAATAAGTATTTATTATACATTAATCAAAAATCATTTAAAATGAGCTATATGTGGTGTACATCTATTACTTGGGATGTTAAGATAGAAGATAATAATTTTGAGGCCAGCCTGAGAAATGAAATGAGATCCTGTCACACACGTGCGCACACACACACACACACACACACACACACACACACACAGGCAGGGTATGTATAAGCCCTCTGGCCTGTACCTGATTGTAAGAGCACTCAGGGAGGTATGAGCACAAAACAAACAAACAAAAACTATCTTCAGATGTCAAAAATCTCAAAATGCTATGACTAAGCATCTTACGAGAATTTATTTCAAAAATAATGCTGCCGACAAGAACATTTGGTTGTTTGCCATATATTATCTTAAACTAGCTAGAATTGCAGCTGATAACAGACTACTTTTTAATAGGTAAAGCTTTCAGAATATCATGGACACTGGAAACATTAATATTTAATTTCTAAAACATTTACAATAATAACATTTTACCATACAAATAAAATGCAACTTTGATTAGGCAGCACTTTCTCTTTGACAACAATTTTTGTGTTATTAAGCATATAAATAATTGCTTTTAAAATTTCTTTCTATAAAGTAAAATAAAAATCTTTCAAGATTTTCCAGTCAATTTGAAATCAAGATATCATTCAGGATTTGATTTTTATAAAGGCAAAATATCAAGTTATCTAGAATGTCAAAAGGTTTCAACACTTGTCTAAATAGAACCATAGATTACTGAGAAGCAATACAACACACTATTTAGCCCACAACTTATTTAATCAACAACTTATTTAGCCAAAAGATGTGAAAAAGCAAATAAAGGACATAACAGGATTAAAAAGATGAACTCTGGCTCTTTAAGAAGTATAAGTCTTGATTTTCATAAGTAACCAAGGATACTTCTCTGATTTGAATGTTCCCTCCAAAATACGTATTGAAATTTAATTGTCAACATGATATAACGATAAAGGGCCTTTAAGAGGCAGTTAGGTTCTGAGTGCTCCACCTTCAAGAATGATGAATGATCCAGGTGATGTGGTGCATGCTTGCAATCCCAGCACTCTGGTAAGGTAAAGTACGGGAATCACAAACGTTCAGCCTGGGCAGTTCAGCGAATTAGAAGACCATGTCCAAAAATTCAACAAAATGTCTGGGGCTATAGCTCTGAGGATGCGCAGGGTTCAAAATGAACCCCGGGAGCCACCGTAGGCGCAGTTGCGCCCCGCACGGCCTGGCCCAGCGGAGCTCGCCCAGCCCAGTCGTGCTGGCGTCTGTTCGCTGCGCGTCTGCAAAGCTCCGGGAAGATGGTGTTGGTTGGCGGCGGCGGCGGCGATAGAGGCAAGGCTGAGGAGGAGGATGGAGGAAACAGCAGGGCCTGCGGGCAGGGAAGGCGAGCTGTACCTGGACCGGGATGTGACCTGGGCTGAGGCTGGGAGGCTGGGGCTGGAGGATGGGCTGCGTCGCCCCTGCTCATGTCGCCTTCTCTGCGGCTTCTGCTGCTGCTTCCCCTGCTGCTCCTGCTCTCCCTGCTGCTGCCCTGGGAGGCCCATGCCGCAGCGATGGAAGTGGCTGTGTCGGGTTCACCCGCAGCTCAGGCCACGAAATGTGTGGGACCCTGTCTCAATGGGGGCCACTGCAACCCTGGCACTGGCCAGTGCGTCTGCTCCACCGGCTGGGTGGGCACCCAGTGCCAGCACTGCGGGGGCCGCTTCAGACTAACTGGATCTTCTGGGTTTGTAACAGATGGACCCGGAAATTATAAATATAAAACCAAATGCTCATGGCTCACTGAAGGACAGCCGCACAGAATAATGAGACTTCGTTTCAATCATTTTGCTACAGAGTGTGGTTGGGACAATTTGTATGTTTATGATGGGGACTCCATTTATGCGCCGCTAATTGCTGCCTTTAGTGGCCTCATTGTTCCTGAGAGAGATAGTAATGAGATTGTCCCCGAGGTCGTTGCCACATCAGGTTATGCCCTGCTGCAATTTTTTAGTGATGCTGCTTATAATTTGAGTGGATTTAATATCACTTACAGTTTTTTTTTTTTTATTGAGTTTATTGGTACATTTAGGGATACAGTACAGTTACATTCATTGTTGGGATCATGTACCTTTACATGGCAAGTCTTGATTCTCATTTTTTTCCCCTTACCTCACTTACAGTTTTGACACATGTCCATACGATTGCTCAGGCCGAGGGGAATGCACGATCAGTAACGGCAGCAACACTGTTGAGTGTGACTGTTCTGAAAACTGGAAAGGCGAATCATGTGACATTCCCTACTGTTCAGATAACTGTGGCTTTCCTCATCGAGGCATCTGCAATTCAAGCGATGTCAGAGGATGCTCCTGCTTCTCTGAGTGGCAGGGGCCCGGATGTTCAATTCCTGTGCCAGCTAACCGGTCGTTTTGGACTCTAGACAAATATCCTCACGTAAACCTCCCCAGAGCATCTCACAAAGCTGTGGTCAATGGAAATATAATATGGATTGTTGGAGGGTATATGTTCAACAACTCAAATTACAACGTGGTTCTAGCATTTGACCTTGTTTCTCGGGAATGGCTTCCACTAAACCGTTCTGTGAACAATGTGACTTTGAGATACGGTCACTCTTTAGTATTACATAAGGATAAAATTTATATGTATGGAGGAAAAATTGATTCAACAGGGAATGTGACCAATGAGTTGAGAGTGTTTCATATTCGTAATGAGTCGTGGGCATTGTTGACCCCAAAGGCAAAGGAGCAATATGCAGTGGTTGGGCACTCTGCACACATCATTACACTGAAAACTGGCCGAGTGGTCATGCTGGTCATCTTTGGTCACTGCCCTCTCTATGGCTATATAGGCAATGTGCAGGAATATAACTTGGATAAGAATACATGGTGTGTGTTACACACTCATGGTGCTCTTTTGCAAGGGGACTATGGCCACAGCAGTGTTTATGATCACAAGACCAAGGCCTTGTATGTTCATGGTGGCTGCAAGGCTTTCATTGTGGATAAATATGGGCTTGCTGATGACCTCTACAAATATGACGTAGATACCCAGATGTGGATCATTCTTAAGGACAGCCAATTTCCCCGTTTCTTGCACACAGCTGTAATAGTGAGTGGAACTATGCTGGTGTTTGGAGGAAATACACACAATGACACTTCTATGAGCCGTGGTGCCAAATGCTTTTCTTCAGATTTCATGGCTTATGACATTGCTTGTGACCGTTGGTCTGTGCTTCCCAGACCTGATCTCCACCGTGATGTCAGCAGATTTGGCCATTCAGCAGTCTTACACAATAACACCATGTATGTGTTTGGTGGTTTCAGCAGTCTCCTCTTTAGTGACATCTTGGCGTTCACCTCAGAACAATGTGAAGCACACCAGAGTGAAGTTGCTTGCATATCAGCAGGACCTGGTATCTGGTGTGTGTGGGATGGGATAACATCTCAGTGTATCTCCTGGGAGCTGGCAACTGAAGAACAAGCCAAAAAGTTAAACTCAGAATGTTTTAACAAAATAACTCTTGATCATAACAGTTGTGACCAAAACACAGATTGTTACAGCTGCACAGCCAACACCAATGACTGCCACTGGTGCAATGACCATTGTGTCCATAGAAATCACAGCTGCACAGAAGGCCAGATCTTCATTTCAAAGTATGAGAACTGCCCCAGGGATAACCCCAAGAACTACTGTAATGGGAAGATCAACTGCAGGAGCTGTAACCTGGACCAGAACTGCCAGTGGATGCCCAGGAAACAAGAATGCATTGCTCTGTCTAAGTACATTTGTGGCATTGACTGGCATTTGGCTGGAAACTCATGTTTAAAAATTACTACTGCCAAGAAGAATTACGACAATGCTAAATTGTATTGTAAAAATCACAAGGCCTTTTTGGCTTCCCTCACAACCTAGAAGAAAGTGGAGATTGTCCTTAAGCAGCTGCAAATAATGCAGTCATCACAGAGCATGTCCAAACTCACCTTAACCCCATGGGTTGGCCTTTGGAAGAGCAATGTGTCCCACTGGTACTGGGAAGATAAGTCTCCATTTACAAATAGCCTACTGCAGTGGATGCCGTCTGAGCCCAGTGATGCTGGCTTCTGTGGAATCTTGTCAGAACCCAATATTCAGGGATTGAAGGCTGCAACCTGCAGCAGCCCACTCAATGGCAGCATCTGTCAAAAGCCTGTAATCCACAGTGCCAAGCAATGCCAGAAGCCATGTGCCTTGAAGACGACGTGCAGAGAGTGTACCAGCAGCAACTTCGAGTGCATGTGGTGCAACAATATGAAGCAGTGCGTGGACTTCAGTGCCTACCTGGCTTACTTCCCTTTTGGACAGTGTACTGACTGGTGTATGATGTACTGTCCCCCTGAAAATTGTTCTGGCTACTATACATGCAGTCATTGCTTGAATCAGCCAGGCTGTGGCTGGTGTACTGATTCTATCAATGCAGGGGAAGGCAAATGCATGGAGGGCTCCTACAGAGGACCAGTAAAGATGCCTTCTCCGTTCTCTACAGGAATTGCCTACCCACAACCTCTTCTGAATTCCAGCATATGTCTGAAGGACAGCAGATACAACTGGTCTTTCATTCACTGTCCAGCTAGTTAGAGCAATGACCACAGTAAATGTATCAACCAGAGTGTGAGAAGTGTTAGAATCTGACTACTGGTAAGCACTATGAGACCTGCATATCTGGCTACTATGGAGACCCCTCTACTGGAGGCAAATGCCAACCCTGCAGCTGCAATGGGCACTTGTCATTGTACAATCCCAACATGGGCAGATGCTTCTGCACCACCAAGGACATCAAGGGGTACAACCGCCAGCTATGTGAAGTAGAAAATAACTACCATGGAAACCCTATCAAAGGAACATGCTATTATACTCTTCTTATTGACTATTGGTTCACTTTTAGCCTGTCCCAGGAAGATGATCACTACTACACAGCCATTAATTTTGTAGCAGTCCTGATGCACAAAGCAAGGATTTGGATATGTTCATGTATGACTCTAATAACTTCAACCTCAACTTCACCTGAGCTGCCAGCTTCTCAGCTGGATCTGAGGATGGTGAAGAGATTCCTGTTGTTTTAAAAACCAAGATAAAGGAGTACAAAGATAGCCTCTCTAACGAGAAGTTTGATTTTGACAACCACCCAAATATCACTTTTTGTGTTTATATCAGTAATGTTACCTGGCCCATCCACGTTCAGATCGGCTTCTCCCAACATAAGAATTTTAGGGACCTGAAACAGTTCTTGTGACTTTGGTCAGCTCAATCTTTTGATGCCCTGTAGAAGATAAGGATTTATTGTTTTACGTTGCCTCAGCCAGCAACTCACCCTATACCACAAATGCATGGACAATCCCCTTCCTCCGCTAAGTGAATATAATTATATCATGATGCTTGGTCAAGTCAGTAATCCCTGTTTACATTATTATGACTATAAAATGATTAAACACAGCTGATTTGAACTATGCTTACACTTCCTCATTTTATGGATGGAGTTTGACTCAGCTTATCTTGAATATAATATTATCCATGCTTTTGCTTTTAAATAGTTTGTTTTTTCTGTTAACCTACTCCTATATTGTGTTGTTCTTTCTAACATTCTCTCCTTTTACCAAACCATATTCTCCAAAAGTTTTCTGAGAAAAAGTACATGAGAGTTCACTTTTTCATGAGTTTTGTCAACTGAAATATCTTTTATTTTTACCCTCACAATTTCATTGAGTTGAATACAAAATTTTAGGTTAGAAATAATTTTTCACTAGAATTCAAAGGACATTATGCTATTTCTTGTGGGATCTAGCATTAATATATTTAGAGGGCTAATGCCACTCCTTGTATGGATGAATTTTCTCTTTAAAATTATTTTTCTCATTGAGTTTATTGGTACTTTTTAAGTATACAGTACACAGTTACCTTTATCACTGGGATCTTGTACTTTTACATGACAGATCTTGGTCCTCATTTTTTCCCCTTGCACCTGCCCTCCCTTAACCTCACTCCCCTATTTACAAAGATTTCTGTTTTCATTTTTTCCTTTTCTCATATTTTTTTCTTTTCCTTTATTTCTTTTCCCTTACCCTTTTCACTTCTCTTACACCTTTAGCCCATTTCTTCTTATTTCACATTGTCAGTTATACCTTATTTACACTTTTAGTGTTTCACATCGGAGAAACTATTTGATATTTACACATGTGTGTTTTATTTATTTCACTTGAGAGTATGGCCTCAATATGCATCCATTTTCCTATGAATGACTCTAGTTTCTCATGCTTTATGGCTGAGCAGTACTCATTGGATCATACCACAATGATGTATGCACGCCCATCTTCAAAAATTTTTTACAGTTGCAGCAACATGGTTAGAACTGGAGATTAAGTGAAATAAGCCAGGCACAGAAACAGAAATACTTCATATTCTCACTTACATGTGTCAGCTGAAGAGTTAGATCTCACAAAGTAGAGAATAGAACAGTGGTTAACAGCATGGTAAGAGTGGTGGGAGGGATCAAGGGAGGGAGAAAATGGTCAATGGGTTCAGGGGAGCAATTGGATGAAAAAATGATTTATGATGTTCTATAGCATAGTAATGTAACTATGGTTTTTGACAAATAATTGAATATTCCATGATAACTAGTAAGGAGGATTTTGGCTGTTCCAAAATAAAGAAATGATGTCATCTAAGGTGACAGATATGCCAATTATCCTTATCTAATCATTACACAATACATTTGTGTACTACTAAATTGTTGCATGTACTCCATAAATATAATTATAGTGTAATAGCATAATCGTATAATTAAAATTATACTATTAATGAAAATATATATATTAAAAATAAAAATTTTAAAGTATTTTCAGTTGAATCCCAAATTTTTTTTTTAAAGTTAATTGTTACATTTGGAGTGGACCAGTTACTGCAAGAGTAAGTTTTGCGAATTCTGACCCTTCATATCCTATCTCAGATGCATCCTTCCTTGACGCCCCAACATGTTATAACACACCACAAAGACTCTGCTACATGCTACATCGTGCCTTTGGACTATCTAGCTTCCAAAACCAGAAGCCAAATTAGCTTGTGTTATTTATAAATTGCATCTTTGCTATTACAGCAGCAGAAAATATACTAAGACAGACATTATCTTTGTAAAACAGAGGGGGCAGTTCTGGTAAGATACAGAATCTTCCCTCTAGGTATACTACTCAGAATGTAAAATAAAACTTTTATGTTCTTGCTAAGAGTTGACCCAATAGTTCAAGAAAATTTTTCGCTTTGACCCTGGTTTTGCATCAGTGTATTATTGATACTGAAAGTAATTAAAAAAAGAAAACACATTTTATAAATAAAACCATTGAACCATTCAGTCTAAACCAATTTTAACCATGTAACATAAGATTTGTCATACACAAACTTTCTTTATACATTCAGATTTTCTTTCATGCTCTCTCCTTCTGGATCATTCATTTTATTTTAGGTCAGAATTGTTTTCTGTTTCCTTCAAAAACAAGATACCTGGTGGGGATGTAGGGAAAAAGGAACCCGTCTACACTCTTGGTGGGAGTGCAGACTGGTGCAACCACTCTGGAAATTAGTGTGGAGACTCCTCAATAAACTAAGGTTAAAGGTCCCTTTGATCTAGCTATTCCTATTCTGGATATCTTCCCAAAAGAGTTAAAAAGAATCATACCACAGTGGTATATGTATACCCATGTTCATAGCAGCACAATTTATAGTAGCTAAAACTTGGAAGCGCCCAATTCCCATCAACTGGAGACTGGATAAAAATATATATCTATATATTTATATATATCTATATATCTATATATATCTATATCTACGATATAGATATATATTATACATATATATGTATATATAATATGGAGTGCTACTCAGCCATAAAGAATGAGAAACTAGAGGTATTTATCTCTAAATAGATGCATATTGAGGCTATACGCAAGTGAAATAAATTGGACATGTGTAAAAACTGAATAGTTTCTCCGGTGTGAGAAACTGAAAGTGTAAATAAGAAACAAGTGAAATCAAGTGAATTAAGAGAAGGAAGAGAAGATCCAAGGAGGAAGGGGAAGTGGGAAGGATAGGGTAAAGGAAAGAAGGGAAGGGAATAAATATGGGAAAATGAAAAACTACAACCCCAAATGCACTTTTTTATTACAAAGCGCCAACACTAAAATCGAAATACTGAAGTTTTTAGTTTAGATAAAACAACTCATATTAACATCTTCTGTTTTAAAGGAAAAGCACAATAATCCACACACCATAGTTTCACCACCACTGACAAAATGTTTGTAACACTGTCCAGTATTACAATACTGTCTACTAAGCCTTTAGCATATCTTCCTTTGCAGAATATTTAAAATCCCCACCAAAACACATGCAAAGATACACACAAACTTTCTAAAATTTTATTCCCAATTTTCACATAAGCACACTAATAAAAATTTTTAATTAATACAGGTATTAATTCCATTTTTTGTTCATTATATTTTTAGATGAAATGAATTAAAGCAATATGCTCAACTTGAAGGTTGAAGCTTCCCATGAATATTTGTGCAGATTTTATTTCCCCATTATGTGATTACATGGAATCATCTTCAAGTACTTAATTTGAGATTTGCAAAATACTTGAAAGTTACAGATGGATCAGGAGTCTAATTACTTAAATTAGCATAAAGAATTGAGAAGCAAGAAAAAGTCTTCTAGAGGCATATAGAGAAAAAGAGAAGATAGGAAATTAGAAGAACGTAGCAGAGCATTTTAGAGTTTAAGGCAAGATTGAAGGTTAAATTAAAGATTAAATAGAAGGAGCGGAGGTGATGGAAAGATAGCCTAGCCATTTGGGGGAGATTTCAATGTTTTAAAGGTCACTGGTGTACTATATTATCTTTAGTAAAAATCATGCCAAGAAGAAATGAAGTAGAGATAATGACAGAGGAATTGAGCATATAATCAATAGAAGTCTTCTCCGGAGGGAAATCAAAAGAAAGAATTTTCCATGAGGAAAGGAACTAAAATTTAGCAGCAAAAAAGGTAATTATCAAAATCTCTATAAATAACATTTCTACAAAGACAATTTAATTGAGTTCCCTACAAATGAAATCTTTATAAAGCAAATTTCACTAAAGAACTAATTTGAAGTCTCAATCACATTTTCAAATTTTCTAAACCAATGGTACCTTTCAAATAAAGAAGCTTGGGCATCTAATCCTTCTTTAAGAGTATATAAGGAATCTTAAGAATCAAACTTTGTCATTACAGAACCACAGCAGGAGGAAGTCTGGAGCATTAGAACAGGAGTCTGACTCACTAATAGATCTATTTATTCAGCATTTAAAGCTCTGTACCAGGACAACCTCAGTTAATTTCAGGGATCTTGTGATGAATCTCATCTGTGTGAATCTTACCACAACACATGTTAAAGGGGGAAAATTGAAGCAGATGAAGCTAAAGAAAAATAAGATGATTTAAAATTACTCCAATAGGAAGACAAGGTTGAAATCAGTTCCATATACCATATATTAAATGGGGATTTTTAGTTAGGCAGGGCGAGGAAGCCAGAGCATCAAAATTACTAAGAACTTTTTCAAATAAGAGGAGAAGGAGAATTCTTACTAACTTGGCTTATCAAGCTTCATGTTGAACTGGGCTTTGTAGGCCAGGGAGATGCAGGTCATCAAATTCAGCAAATTAAGGACAACAGGACAAAGACAAGAACTACAGGGTTAGAAGAAGCCTAGCTAAACTTCATCAGTGAGGGAGTCCTTGTCAGTTACAATAACATTTATGAAACTTCACACGAAAAAACTGTTTTAAGTGCCAATATAAAATGTCTAAAAAAATTCCATTGTGAATTGTTTTACTTTCATGTCAGATTACTTGGTTAGAATTCTAGGTCTGTTTATTCACATTTAATGTATGACTATGCTTTCATTTGGACATTGTTCATATAACTCATGTGCTGGAAGATTGAGCTCCAATGTTTATGTGTTGAATTATTGCAAGACTGATAAGAGATAAGGCTTAGTTGGAGGTTATTACATCATAAGTGTATTATCTTTGTTAATGGACTGTCTCAGAAGACCACATTAGTTCTCAGGAATGGGCTAAGTCTCACGAAAATGAGTTAGGTCCCAAAGGGTTGGATTAGTTACTTTGAGAATGAGTTGTTGTAAAACAGTCTGTTATTCCACCATCTGTCTTCTTGCATACATGTATTTCTTTTCCATGCACTGTTTTTTTCAACTTTTCCATAGTATGACATAGTACAAGGCCCCCATCAAAACTTACAACAGATGCTGGTGCCATGCTCTTAAACTTCTCCACCTCCAAAACTGTCAGGCAAAGTAATCTTCCTTTCTTCACAAATTTAATTTAAATCAGGTATTTTTAATCATAACCAAGAACAAATTAAAATTTATCTCCTTGCCTCAGATTTTTTGTTCCTATGATAAATAAAAATAATTTATATTCATCATGAGGCACTTAATAAGTACTGTAGTTAAAAAATATTATGTGTAAAGCAAAAAATTAAATGTGCTATATATTCCCTGCTTAATATATTGTCTTTTATAAATTAAAGCAGCAGAAAATTTCATTTGACTGAGTGAACTTAATGGGAAGGT